AAAGATCTACAGCAAGCTACCATAAAAAAGAAACATTTTCAATAAAAAAGAATTGCATTAAAATAGGCTTATTTATCTTAAAAAACAAAAATGATGTTAAAGTCATTCGGAAGCATTTAAAAGCAATTTAGTCTACAGAAAATAGAACAAGTAGAATAAAAAATGATGTCAAAAGATTTTTCTGACTACAGGGTTAAAAAGGTAAAAGCAATAAAAATAATGTAGAGAGCAGATGAAATGTCAGAGCAAGAGATCATTTTCCCCCTTAAGAAAGATAATCAATGAAAGAGTGATAATTGTCACATAATACAGAAAATCTTCCTTATTTGTAAAAAGTATTTTAAATCAGGAATACACACCAGATCCTCAGAAAAATAGAATCACACTGACATATACTAAATATTCTTACCTTCAAAAATGAAGAATAAATTTTAAAATATATTTTCAAAAATTAATTTCACATCAAGAAAACATATACAATATTACAAAGTAAATAAGGAAGGAGAAGAAGAGTAAAGTACCTATTTCAACCACTAATGACTGAAAACAATACAAAAAGGTCTACCTTTTGATCTTTAGAGGAAAACATCATGGTGCAAGAATTCTATACCCAGAATTCAAATGTGATAGCACAATAATGATATTTTGGGATATGAAATGGCTGGGCATATGTAATACCTTAGAAAATCTTGAATAAATAAAATATTGAATCCATCATGATACATTTATATTAATCACTTAAAACATTACACTATCAGACATTTGAAACTCTAAAGCCTAAAAGGAAGCTCCGGTAAAAATAATATCTCTTTTCAACATCTAGATAACAAAGTTTTTTCCTAGGAATTTGCCAGTTCAAGCCAGAAAGTCATGTAAAACTAACCAGGATATGGTCATTTATCACAGACACTTTTTACAGTATACCTTTTATGGAAACAATAATATAAATAATAAACATAAAACCACATATATCATAAGTGTGCTAGTGAATGAGTTTCCACCCAAAGATCACACTCAGGTGCCAGGATTCAGATTAAGAAATCAAATGCATTAGCATCCTAGAAGCCATATTCCAGCTGGAAGTCACCGCCTCTCCCCAAAGATAAGAACTATTGTGTCTAATGTCTAACACATTAGACTATATAGACCATCAATCCCCATACTCAGTCAACCTGGATTACAGGCTCATAGAAGTGCTGGCATACAAACCCATGACCCTTCCCACTTGAGTCAAGCTGCACCGTCAATGTGTGGATATTAATGCAAGGGGGCTTCAAAATGTTCACAGAAAAAAGTGAATTAAAGTGCAAATCTTTTATTTTGTGTAAAACAAAATAAATGGAAATACATACTTTTTTAAATAATATACACTTTCCACGAACTTTTAAAAGATTCCCTCAAAAAGAATCACATAGATAGATAATTCATTCCACTGAACATTATGTTTAGACCTGGAGCAACTGTTGCTTTTTTTTTTTTGGGGGGGGGCTATTTAAACTTTTTATTAAGGGCTATAAAAATATCCAGAAATATAAATAAATGTGAAGCAATGATATCTGTCCTAATATGAAGAACTTTCTTTCACTGCACTGTTTTCCTTCACAACGGTCTTCGAATCACAAGAGGCAGTGATTCCGTGCCATTTCCTCTGCTTTCATTACACGCTGCAGGATTTCTGAATCAATATCCCCACCCTTGGTCTTCTCATTTATAAATCAATTTCATTTTCTACCCATTGTTCAGAGGGAGTGTATTTTTCTTTGTTCCATGAAGAGGACTTCTTTGTTCATTTGACTTGCTCTTGGCAAAGGAGACCGCGGAGAGGAACATGGCGGCCGCACCTGTGCAGTCTCGGTAACCGGCCTGAAGACCACTGTTACTTATTTTTATGGTTGAATAATATCTATTATGTGAATACATCAATGTATTCATATTTATGTTAACGATAGACATCCTATTGAAATATACTTTGTGGTTGTTTCTAGGTCGGGGCCATTATTTACAGTAGTGGTAGAAGAAATCAAGTTCTACAAGCATGATAAGTCGCAACATTTAGTCTGTATTAGAGAGACAGTAAGGAGTGGTAGAAGCCATGATTAACTAGATCGTGCTTATTCCTATCTGAAAAGGGGAGTCTGTCCTCAGCTCTAATCTTACATCTTATGATATACATGGAATATAGGAATATTAACACAGTGTTGCCCTATTGATAAATTTTAAAAAGTGAGGGGTGCAGGGTACCTCCTAGCCTTGTGATTAAGAACCCAGATCCCATAAGGACAAACATAGCTTGAATCCCAGCCATGGTGGTTTGGGAAATATACTAGGTACATGCTCATGTGTGTCCAAAATCTCAACAGAATGCAGAAACAGGGGAAAACAGTTTGAGACATGATCATGCTCCATTAAGGCATGCTTTCTCCCCCTCTCTGGTGAGAGCATGTGCCCTCTGGAAATTAAAAAAAAGAAAGAGGAAGAAGGAAGGAAGGAAGGAAGGAAGGAAGGAAGGAAGGAAGGAAGGAAGGGAGGGAGGGAGGAAGAGAAGCTTACAATTCAAATTTCTAATTTCCACTGTTGGTTTAATTATTTTTCAATTTAATTTTTCTAAAAAAAAACTCAGAGGGACCAGCCGTTGGTGTAATGACTATGTTGCTGGACTTGCATGTAGTCAACCGCGGTTCGAGTCCTGGACTCAGTGGCTTAAACTCACGCCAAGCATGTGTGCGTGCATGCCCAAGATCTTGAGAGGAGAATGGAGGAGAAGGGATTGTGGCATGGCCATCTCCCCCAGGGGGTGATTTCTCTCTTTCTGTCTCTCTGTCTCTCTCTGTCTTTCTGGCGAGCACACACACCCTGTAGCAAAAAAAAAAAAAAAAAAATTCTCAAAAACAAACAAACAAACATAAAGCTCAGAGACCCAATCTGAATTCCATAGCTTGCAGCCTTGGAACTGGATAGTCACAAAACTAAAACAGCTTGTCAGCCTTTAGACCACATGTAGCAAATCCCAGCTGGTTTCTTTCCAGCCACAACTTACCCCAGTTGAGTAACTCAGATAGTAAGCAAAATGATGAGGGAAGCTGCTCCCTCTGCAGAAATGGAGAATATTTCTGTCTGTCACATTGTGGAATAAGGGGTCACTTTTGCTGTCAAAGCAGTTGGCCCAGGGTCTTGAAGGAGAAGCTGAACCTGGAGATTGCATTTCCTCTGCAGTGTCCCTTTCTCACTCCAAATGTCTCCCTGTCTCCCTCTCCTTGACACATCAGGTGAAGATGGCACTTTTTTTCTCCTGGTAATCTTTTGTGACCTTATGTAGACTCTTAATTTCCTGGTTTAAGTTACAACCAGAGGTTAGAAATTTTTGCAATGGGATCAAATATTCCATTATCATTATACCCCAGGAGAGACAGTTTTACAATCATGTGTGCGTGAGGGGACTTGTAAATAAAGTTCGACCTTCTTTCTACAAACCAAAACTAATAGACTTTATTCATTTGTCTTTCTTCTTGAAGTGAAGCAATTCATTTCTAGACAGCTTTGGCAGGATCTCAGACTGTTTTACACTCGCTTCATGCTGGCAAAATGGATATTCCTTGATATTCCATTTTTGGTTTAGTGGTATTAATGGTGGCAATGGTAGTAAGAGGAGGGAGCAAGTCATTTTTACAGTTCTATGTGAATAATGTTCTAATAAGACAAAAATGAGAGAATTAAGGACTAATACAAAGGTTATCACAAGGCCAATGACTATAAAGTAGATACTTCCCCCCTAAAATAGTGGTTCTTATATTTTAAAATGCCCAAGAATCACCTAAAGAACTTGTTAAAACACAGAGTCACAGACTTCTAGGCCCACTCCTAGAGTTTCTGATGGTAGAGTTATAGGAGGAAAATATTACTTTTTTTGAGAGAAATTTTTTGCTGTAGGGCATGTGACTCCCTAGAGAGACAGAGAGAGACAGAGACAGAAAGTGAGAAATCACTCCTCAGGGGGATGGCCATGCCTCAATCCGTTATGCTTCATTCTCCTCTTGGGATTTTGGTCATGCACACACATGCGCCCAGTGTGAGTTTTAAGCTGCCAGGTCCAGGACTCAAACCATGGTCAACTATGTGGGAATCCAGTAACATAACCATTGCACCATCTGCTGGTCCCAAGAATATTACTTTCTAACAAGTTCCCTAGTGATGCTGATGCTGTGGCACCTGGATCACAATTCTAAAAACCTTGACCTAAAGAAACCTTCATAATCTGTGATGACTCTAAGCAATAAAAACCTCAGTAAATTTAATTTGAATTTGTTTTTTATAAAGTGACTATGAATTTTTTTCTTCTTAGACAGGGTCTTATTAAAATCCTCCCGCCTCAGCTTTTCACAGATAACTTCAATCCCAGGTGTGGGCTACCACACCCAACTTTCAGGGTGGGTTGGGAATCGTATTTGGCCTCCCATGTGGCCTTAGTGTGCCAAGTAGCCAGGTCTGTCAGGGCACACTACCATGAGTATCCCCGAAATTTTTTCGAATGGTCCATATCTTTCAAATATCTCTACCTAGACATTAAATAAATATTCTTTGGAGGTACTGATCTAATAAAATGCTTCCATTTGCATTTTAATTATTTGAAAATTAATGCCCACAAATTTTTCCCCTGCTAAAATGATCATTTCCTCTATTATGCAATGTTCACCAAAGTATTCATTCATAAAGTAGATCAGCACAAAAGTTTTTAAGATGTGAATACAATAAGGTACCAAGGAATGATTGTCACAGCTTTAGAGAAAATAAATGAATAGAAACCTAAAACTGCTTTACTGAACAATCAGTGATAATTGCATACCTTAAAGGAGAAGAAAAAAAAAAACACATTTGTACAATATCTGTATTGAATCAGTCATTTTTCAGTAAAAACAAATCACCTGACTTTTTCTTAGCAACCTTAGATTCTGAAATTGCTTTCCTTTGGTCTTTTTCATAAACAAATGACTAGAAAAGTCCCTATGGAGAGGAGAGGCCAGTTCCTCATTTCAACTTGTATCAAGGTTGTTTGCCCTCTGCGTGGGAGGGTCCATGGTTACAGGCGTGGAACCTGCTGCTCAGATCCCTTTCCTGGCAGCTCCCTTGGTAGTTCTGCAGACTCCAGATCGTCGGAGCCAGCTTGGACAATGTCACACTCAGAGGCAGACCACCCCACAGGTATTAAAGGTGATGCTCTGCTGCTTTCTGGGTTTTCCTCTTGCACTTTGTTTGTTCAGATCCTGTTGCTACCAGCTTCACTTGGTCCTGTCTTGCTGGTCTTTCCAGATGTAATGGGAACTAGTGAATCATTAATCTATGTGGTTAGATTTCCAGTAGAGTGAGATTGCTTCCTTGACAGCGTGGGTGAGTGTTGGCTGTATTCTTAAAGCTTGGGAGGTCAAAGGCTGGTAAATTTTCTATTTAATGATTATATATTCATTTAGTCTTTTAGAGAAAGTAGAGGAAAAGTGTCAGCATGAACAAATGTATGCTAACTTTTGATTCCAGATCCATTGTGGGATAGTCATTTCAGGGAGCCTCCCAGGAACCTCAGCCATAATCTCATTTAATTCCTGAAACAAGCCTGGGAAGGTTTGTTTTACAAAAATGTTTTATATACATATTGCATAGAGACCAACAGAGAAGTGACTTGTCCTACATCACATGGCAAGTTGGTGGTAAGGCCAAAAGAGAAGCCACATGGTTTATTCTAGACTTCGGACCCTCTGCACACCACCTTCCAACACCCTGTTGAATTTAAAGTTTTTCCACTTCTCTGGTGAGTCTTGTCAGCAGTTAGTGCTGCCTTGATTCCAATACATAAGACACTAGCCAAGAAATAATACTTCAGGACTCTTAAATCCTACTGGGCTTAAATAATGTCCTACCAGTGACTACTTCCCTATGCCCAGAAAGCTATAAAGGAAACTAAAGCTGTGTCCTATTCCCTTAAAAGAAGGGAAAAGAAAGCCAAAAGACAGAGAGGGTTAAGATTTCTGATATACTATTATGCAAATGCCTATGTAAACATACTGAATTCCTTCAACATTGTTGCTGCCTTGAACTTTGGCAATGTTCTGCAATAGAAAAATAATAGAGTCCTCTGGGCGTACACATGTGTGAAAGTACCTATAACTCGCATCCTCAGCTCAGCCATTGTTTGTTGAGAGAATGAGGAAGTAGCTCCTCCATGAAGCATCAGGAAGCCTGAAGAGATCTAATGTACCCAGCTTCATTGATGATCATAACAAGCCTTTCATTCTTCTCCAGCAAAGCTGATGTCAGTCTTTAAAGTAACAGCCAGAAATTACCAAATGAAAACATAATGTGAGGGATAGGGGCAGCAGGTGGCATAGTAGTTAAGGTGCTACATTTCTACATAGTTGACAGCGGTTTGAGTCTCAGATCTAGCACTTTGAAATACGCTGAGTATACGTGCATGTATGCCCAAAATCCCAAAAGGAAAATGGAGAAGAAGGGACTGCAGTGTGGCCATGCCCCCTGGGGGCTGATTCCTCACTTTCTCTCTTTCTGTCTCGCCAATAAGTCCATGCACCCTATAGCAAAAAAGCTCTCTAAAAAAATAATAATTAAAAAAAAGTAATCAGTTAAACCCCACCTTAACTAAATGTAAGTTTCCAAACTGGTATTATCCTTTTTCTCCATCTCCCCAAAATGGGTATCTCATGTGTTTTAGCTCCATATCTGAAGTCCTGTAACACTGGAGTTGTCAGCTCAAAATATTAAAGCAAATCCAACATTAAAGATTTTAGGTTTCTTCTCTAAGCAAGAGTTGAATTTACTTTAGTAAAATCCAGAGTCTATTAGTTTCGTTTGATCTTAAACCATGTAAGAGTCAAGGAATAAATATAAGAGACCAGGGATGACAATGTCATAATACTGGGCTCCTCGTCTTTACTGATAAGTGTAATTAAATAGCCTATTAATTCTCTGTACACAAGGTTATTGTACTTCTATGACAGAAACAGATTAGAAGAAACAAATTAAAGGAAAAAGATTGGTTGCCATAGGCAAGTACACAAGTGTAATGAGAAGAAATAAATAAAAATTTAGGAGTGTTATCAGTTGGGGCCATTCAGTGTATGGGGTAAATAATCACATGCTATAAAAACCTGTAACAGTTATTATATTGTCCAGAGAATTACAATAAATATGATATTAATCATTGTATTTCAGTCCAGTACTATGAGTGATCATCAACATCATGAGGTCAGGTCATGCGGAAAGGGTACTGATTTTCATTGCTCTCTATTATCAAGTTATAGAAGTAGATAATATGCTATAGAAAAAGTTCTACTAAAAAGTATTGTCGATGCAATCAAAATTAAATAGCACTAAAAATATACATATACTACTTATCCTTAAATTTTGACTATTTAAATATACTCATTCCTAAAGGGTTCTAGATTGTTGAGGTTTGCTTTAGAATTGCAAACTTTCTAAAATTCTTATTAGAGATCTCAGATTATATGGTCAACTACTAATTTTCTATCCACAACAACCCATGGAGAGTCTGAAACCACCTCCCACAAGGCCACTACAAGGGAAGATGGTTCAATTATCCTTTCCACATCCTTTCCACACCTAATCTGTAAATAATCAAGCATTGACTCTCATGTAATAATTGATGGGCTGGATAAGAACCAATGATTTTCCATATAAACCTTCTTCATGTGAGAAACTACAAAATAACAAATCAGTGAGTAAGTCATTTCTATATTTTTATCTATCAAATTGTCAAAGGGCAGAATCAGCTTTGAGCATAGGAGGTAATTCTACAAGTATAAATCCTAGAAAACACCTCTAATCATTAGAAGTGGGACATCTCGTGACATCTAGGGTTTTCTTTTTAAACTCAAAAGACCTTTTTTCAAAATATGGAGATCGATCAAATCTAAAATGTATTTTGTCAAATACTTATCATCAATTATTTTTGAAGCCATATCTCATTCTGTCATTTAAACCTTGAGGGAAGGGGCCTTGTTTTTCTTATTGTTTTATTCCTGGAATGAACCAGAGTATATAGATACATATATACATATACATACATACATAAATGCAGAATATAAGGAGAATTTAATGTATAATGTATTTGATTCTCTTAAAATGGAATAATCAGAGTCTGCTCCATAGCCTACTAGTTAAAGGAGCCAGGTTTCACCTAGCTGACTGCGGTTTGAATCCCAGCCCCAGCAGCTAAAAAACATGTTGGGCATGTGTGCATGCATGCCCCAAAACTGGTTGGGATGGAGAAATAGAGGAGAAGATTATGTTGTGACTACACCCCATGAGGAGAAGGAGTGCTTCCTCCCATTCTCTCTCCCTGCTGAGTGTTTGTGCCCTCCAACAGTTAAACTAAAATAAACAAAAGTTAATAAGCTATGTGGCTAAGAAATATCTAAGAAATATCTTCAGTCACTAAAATGTTTAAAGAGTTTTTTGTTTGTTTGTTTGAAACTGAGAGGAATATTAAGTAAATAGTAAATAGATTTCAATACATCAGGGGGTCTTCAAAAAGTTAATGGAAAATATATGTTATTTAAAAAACCTATATATGCATCTCTCTTTTTTTCTTACACCAACATAAACTCCTTCTGTACTGTCCATTTTTCCTCAAACTGTTTGAAGTCCCCTCATACTATGTTAATCGTAAACATAACGGATCTAATAAGAAGTGGACTCTATGGATCTCCTATGACTAATGAAGAAGCCTTAATTCGAAATTCTGGCCTCTTTTCTCTCATCTGTCTCCCACAGATTCCACACTCTGCTCTTTCTCACTGGAGGTGCAACAATCCGCTTGCAACCCTCCCCTGGGGAAGGATATAGAAATGCCAGAGGAAGAGTGGCCCTCAAATACGGAAACTGAGCGACCCCGACATGGTCCAGAGAACAACGCCTCGGGCAGTGTCCCCAGCAAGCTTCCAGCGACCGGTCCGCTTAGCTGCCCCGAGAACACAGAGTCATCCTGCCCAGAGCCTCAACCCCGAGGGGCGAGGAGCCTGCCAAGGCCCAGGGAGAACCAGGGCAATCTGCTTCAGTTTGACCGGCAGGCCCCGGGCCGCATTTCCACCTCCCCGACGCTGAGGAGGCTACGAGCCAG